GCCTTGCCCTGGCCTGCTGCCAGCCCTTCTGAGTGGACCGTGAGCCTCAGACCTCCCTTGCTGACCTAAATGCCCACAACTCCTAAACCTATGAGTATCCCCTTGTTGCTTGTTTGACCTATCTTAAAGTACAAATCTCTCTCATTGTCCAACTTGTTTTTTTGAGGGGGGAATGAATGGGGTCATGTCTCTCTCAGGACTCTGCACTTTGCAACCCCCCTAACATTAGCCTGGATGAGATCACTTTCCGTACTGCATTTTCTATTTCCTTTGCTACACATCTTGGAGATAAATGTCGTTCCCATATGGCTTGCTTATCTCTGCCTCAACCCTCTTCCCTGAGACTTGTTCAACTCATACCCAGGGTGGATAGCCTTTGAATTCCTTCAGGAATCCTTCCAGGACTTCTCCGACATGGACATTATCTTCTGGACTTTCATTTTCTATTTCATTTGAACTTCTCGCTGAGGGTGACTCTCTCCTGTCTGGATGGCTCGCTCGCTCCTGGCTTGATGCCCCTCGGCCCGTGGCTTTCATCTCACAAGTCATGCTGACACACCTACCTGCTCCTTCCCATCTCTCAGTCTCCTCTCCAATTGGGGATACCTGCTCGGTGGGCTGTGACCTCACATTTCTCTCAACCTCCTCTCTGATTGGGGATGCCTACTCAGAGGGCTTTGGCCCCACATCCCTTCAGGGATTCCCACAACACTACAGATGCCTTCAGCCTCCTTTCACTTTCTCTCTCCCTGCTCTTGTCTCTCTACCACCATCGGTAGTTCCTCTTCGACTCCCTCTTAGCACTATTCCTCTGTGGTAGACTGCCTTAAGTCTGCCTTTGGCTTCTCTAACCTCAAAGTCAAACACCTAGTATTCCTCTGCCAAACAGCTTGGTCACAATACAAATTGGATAATGGGACTATCTGGTCTCCCAAGGGAACTTTTGATTGTGACAGCTTCGTTGATTTAGATAACTTTTGTTGCCCCAGTGGGAAGTGGTCCAATGTCCCCTATGTTCTTGCTTTCTTTCTCTCTGCAATCATCCTGAGCTGTACCTGTCATGTAGTCCTCAACAGATTCTACTAGCAAAGGCCCCCACCAGACCTCGATCTGACTCCTCCCATCGACTCCTTCCCATTGACCCCTTCATTCCCAGATTCCCCTATAGCCCCCACAGAGCCACCACCAGGGTCACCCCCCCACAGCCACCACCCACCAGATCTGCCACCATCTTCACTGCTTCAGCAGCCCCTTCCATGACAGATGCTACTTCACTTTCCGACCCTGAACTTTCAGGGGCTGCAGAAATCTCTCTCTCTCTCTCTCTCTCTCTCTCTCTCTCTCTCTCTCTCTCTCATGTATTTGGTGGTTACAAGGTCTCACTATGCAGTTCAAACTCATAGTGATCCTCCTATTCTCAGCCTCCCCAGTGCTGGGATTACAGGTGTATGCCACTACTCCCAGACTCTGGCCAACTCAGCCCACCCTGGGGGCAGGCTCATCTACCTGATCCTTCATTCCTCACTGCTCCCAACTTACACCTATAGTCTCTTTTTCCTTCAAGTTCCTCAGTTTGAGACAAAGTACAACCCAAGAACAGCTAATATCACATTGTTCCCTGGCTGGATGTGCTTGCTCCCTCTGCAGTGGGGTGCTCAAGGTCAACAGCCCTCAAAATGTAGGCCCTTATATCTCCTACTCTCCCAGCAGAGCCTGTTGCTCACTTCCTTCTCCCCCCTCCCCCCACCCCTCAGCCACTTGGGCAGGTGATCCTGTCAGAGCCACAAGAAAGAGGCTCTGAGTTTCAGCTTCCTGTCCCTCCCTTAGAACACCCTTCTCACCAGCCTGCAAGTGAAGAACATGGAGCTGTCAGTGCTCCTCTATTGTACTGTGCCTAATTCTCATGCTCTGCTCAGTGTGCTTGCTCCTACTCAAACTTGGTAACTATAAATGCAAGGTTTTTATGTTTTTCAAATTCTTCTTATAAGAGATCTCTGCAAATTGACCTACAAAATTTCTGACTAGTCTCTCATAATTACAAACTTAAAAGGTAATCATAATTTAACCTGGACAGAAATATATTTGAGTGTACTCTGATTGTGTAAAGACGTTCATGTGTGTCCTGTGTATGTGTTTATATGTTGTTCTGTCAACAGCTATTCTTCTTTTTATTTGAGCTTTAAAATATAGACTAAAATGCTTTCTCCTGAGTTACCAGCTGCTCTAAATGATATCAAAATTACTTTACAATTAAACAAAAATTAAAATGGGGATTGATTATTGGACAGGACTCTTGATTGGTGGATAGATGGGTGGCCAACCTTGGCTCATCAGTAGAGAGTCTCCAACAATCTCCTTGGAAGACACCCAATAATTTGGTCATTGGTTAAAAGACAGTTTTTTCAAAGAACAAAAACAAGGTTTTCTGCATTAGATATATTCATGCCTTTCTCTTATGCTTCAGATATTTATAACAAGAAGTTCATGTCAAGCCAACATGAGGTCATTACTTTTCTAACAAACATTTATGTGATATATATCCTGCGTATGTGCCATTACATCTTAGAGATGTCTACACAAAATGGGGGTTTCATCATCTGTTATGACTGTTATGCTACACTACTGTGTAATTCCAGCTCTTAGGAGGCTGAACACAGGTGGATCACTATGAGTCCAATCTATGCAGTGAGACCCTGTAGACCCTATACTAAATACAAAAAAAAAAAAAAAAAAAAAATGGGACCTTAACAAGGTAATGCTGAGCCTAAACAATTCTGCCTTCCAAGGCCTTCCTGGATGATTTCAAGTACAGCAAAGGACACTGGGCATGAGCCTGCCCAACTTGCAGCCACCATGGTTTTATCTACAAGCTCGAGGATCACTGGAAATGTGACTGCCCTGTCTGCCAGAGAGTGGGTAAGTCATCCAATTCCCTGCTTTCACAGGAAAATTTGCTACAGCCAGATCCATCAATAGTTGACCTGCTTGGTCTTGCTGTTGAAGAGGTACAATAGAGCTTGGAGTCCATGGCCCACATCGAGGTATGTTTGTCAGAGTCCTGTGTCTTGCTGGATATCTCAGGTAAAAACCTTTTCTGGCTGACATGGACACCACATACAGTGTTCTTCCTGAGTTTGAAAGTTGCTATATTAGATCTACAGTCTCCATAGTGGGTGTTGATAGCTGACTTACATGACACCTTCAGACAAGCCAATTCCCTGATGACTCCAGATATTGTTCTCCACTCATAATTTCCTTGTAAACCCAACCTACTCCATACCTCTCATGAGGAGAGATCTCACCCAAAAGCTCCATGTCTCTTTCTCCTCTCTCCGCACAGTACTCGTCCTATAAACCTTACCTCAATGCACAGCCAACTCTTTCCTCCCTCTTCCCTTGACCACATACTCTGAGACACTTCCAGTCCCACTTGAGCCACATGTGCTATTCCTATACTAGTGTGCCTCAGAGATCTCATAGCCTTTCCTTGCCAATAGCCCCCAAACATCAGAGGGGACTCAAGATCGATACCCCTCCCCATCAACATGGTCATGGCAAAATGACACAGTCAGATTATAGACTCTCTTCTTGCTTCTCTTCCTATGCCCTTTCATCATAAACTGTCATTCTGTCAACCCTCCTTGCCCCCAAGAACTCTCCTAACTCAGACTACCAACCTCACCAAGTGTTGGTTATACATGTCCTGACCTCATGGCTTTTCTGGCCATACTGAACAACACACACAACTGCCCCCTTTCTCAAAAAACCTTTAAAAACCCCACTGGGGCCTCCCATATACCAAACTCACCTCATTCAACACACTTCCAGACAAGCAACACGAAACAGGCACACAGTGTCACCTGTGTATCATAGGCACACAGCTGTATGGCACCTCAGTCTTTCCTTGCCTTCCCTCACACCTCCAGTGCACTCCAGTGACTATGATCTCTAATTTCAGCAATATATACAAACTCAGAGTTTCAAGATGCCATCTTCCTTAAGAATAAACCCACAAGGCCAGGGCCATAGCTCAGTACAATAACTGCCTGTCTGGCAAGCACAGGATCCTGAGTTCAATCCCCAGTACTGAAAAAAAAGAAAAGAAATGAAAAAAGAATTAACCCACACCCCATAGGATAAAATGGGCCACCCATGTGGGCATCCAGGTAGGTATGACTTTCCTACGTGCAACTCTGGGAGCTGCAGAACTTGGGACCTCCCTAAGAGGCTCCCTGGGATGGAATGGAACTCCATCTTCCCCTGGCATACAGAACTCTGTCTTCCCTTGGCTTGCTCCCCTTCTAGGACCCCTTACTGGGCTTGCTATTATGCTCCTGGTAGCCCCTACTTCATTTCCCTAATCTTCAATACTGTCACCAGATTAACAACCCAAAATGTTAACCAAATGCCTCTATCAGATTACTTCTACCAGGTCTTACTCCAATGAGATCCCTTCAATGACAATGACAACTCCTTACCTTGATCTCTAGAATCACTGCCCATGATACTCCCAGGCAGCAGGAAGTAGCCAGATGATTTCTTTGTCCTTTTTTTTTTTTATTAAAAAGAGTCTGGAATTATGGGCTAGGACTGAAAGTATCCCGGACACCCTGCCCCAAATTCTCTTCTACTTGGTCCCACATAGAGCCAAAGCCAAAACTGCAGTACAACCCTACCAGATTTTGACCAGGGCAAGAAACCACAGAAACTCTCCTTTTGTTAACATTGAAAGTCCCCCACAGACCAGGTAGCCCTGCCAAGATTAGCTCTCCCTCAGCCATTCCAGCCCGCAAACACCCTCCCCATAACCCCCCTTAAAAGTCCCGTGCTTTACCTTATTTGATGCTGTCTTGGTCTGCTAGACAGTCAGGCTGCTTGCTCCTACCTCTAATAAATCTTCAAGCATCAGAATGCCTGGTCTGGTTGATTGAGTGGGGCCATACCTGACAGCTTCATACCTATGTTCTTTCTAGACATAAAGCTTACCAGCCCATACATACCTGGTTTTAAGCAGATGCCCCACTTTTGGTCATCTTCAAAATTTAAGGTAGTAGCACACCATGGCCCACTATGATCTTCATCAACAATACAGTCGTGATGCCATTTCCCATTGGCTAAAAATGGAAATTCACAAGGTCTCCCATAGGAGTTCCCATCTCTGGTATATATCTCTATGTGTTGGGAAGGAAATAAAGAGAATTAAACACCAGGTAATCACTTTTAGCTAGTAAATTCCTTAAAATTCTTTCAAAGGAAGAGTTGTTTCCCTTATAAGAACATGGTATTGAGTAGGCTGCATGGTATAAAAGAACATAGAAACAGACTGTTCAGTCCTGGGCTTCAGTTTTGGTTTCCCAACTAACTTCCATTGGCTGTGGGCAAGCCAGCCAACTTCTATCTGCCTTAGTTTCTGCATTACTTGGGCATAATGAAGGTTGTTCCTGAGTACTTGGTGAGATAATCCATGCAAAGCTTCTTCTATTGTGGTGTGATAAAGTATTAAAATATTCTGTCTTGCTCAAGTAAGGATGGGTGGACGACTCTATGGCGGGTGGCAGAGTGCTTCACCAGAAAGGGTATCCTGACTGAGATTCAATTCACCTGCGTTTTCTTCAGAAAGGAGGCGCCAGAACAAATCCCAAGAATCACTAAGAGGATATGTGTGGACTTGGGGAAGCACCTGTAGAGTCAGAGAGGATAAATAGCTCCACTATTTACAAGAATTTAGACTGTGGGTTTTGAGGAAGTGAAAGTACAAGCTGGTGAAATCCTGAGTAGATTGTTGGAGAGATTATGGCAGAGTAATTCAGGTTATAAAAGAAAATCCAGCCTCAAAGCGACAGTTATAGGACCAGCTGATGGCTAGCAAAACAGCATATTTAGCTTTTCATTTAAATCATTATCTCTGGATCTCAGAAGAATTGAAAGATGATTCTCATTGAAAATATGCCTGCAAATGCTGGAGGACTGCTTCATCACTTTCTTGAAAAGGTGTTTTTTTTTTTTTTTTTTTATCAAAACACTATTTTTGTCACCAATTCTTACACCTCAATTTGTTTAAGACCTTGGTCACTTTCAGATTAAATAATAGTTATTATATGTAAATCATAGTCATCAAATCTCTTTACTCTTTACTGGGATACCAGACTCCCTCAAAATGTCTCATAGATATTTTTAAAAATGAATATAAGACAATATTTACATTATAATATTTTTATCCTTAATTATCCTCACGAGTTCATCTAATTGAAGTGTGAGACTTAATTTAACAGTTTGGAATGTATTATGCAGCCATATAGCAAAAGACAACAATAATCTAGACAATTTTTCTTTGAAAACAGTGTCTTAAGGATCAAAGTCTTAAGGCTTTGTTTCCCTGTGACACATATGTGACTCTGAAGAGGGTACTTTTACTAAAGAACATGTTGACCTTCTCTTTTATAAGGAGTGTGCTCATCACATGTTTTGTTTCTGACCACACCAAAAATCCCAAGCACTCATGACTGGTTTCCCTTCACTGCAGCACTGACAGGAAAGCACCTGAACACAGAGACCGTGACTTGGAGGAACACTGGGTTTCTCCCACAACCTTTGGTCTCTGTCATGATCCTGTCGTATCCTAGCACACTTCTTTCACTTTCTTCTTGCCACAAACCCATGAGCTGAATAAGGAAGGTATGAAACTTGGTCATGGAATCCCCATTTTTGCAGAGTAGTGAGGTGAAAGACTGCATTCAGAGATTCAGTTGTGAACAACAGAAATGAGAACTCGGACTGTATATCAATGGTGAGTTTGAAACCAATGCTTGCATTTGGAGGATTTAAAAAAAATTATTTTCATTAGTCTATGTTTGTAGTAGTAATGATGGTGAATGCAGTGATTACATTCACCATGGAGAGTTGGTTCATGTACATACTACATCTTAATTCTTTTTATATCCCTGTGTCCTTTCTTCCCTCCCTCTGTCTCCATAGCATAAAGCTAAGTTTCACTGAACAGCTCAAACTTTGAAGAATGATAAGTAAACAACAATCATAAAAGAAGCATTGAATGATGCTTATTACTCACTAAGAATTTTATTCTCATTCATCCTTGCAGTTGTTGGACCTCCTGAATTCAATGGGTTTCCAAAGTAAGTCAGGCTTTAGAGAAAAATCTTCCCTGAATGCACTGATTCAGAGTGATAGCATCTTTGAAGCACAAACTTATAATGTAAGCATGAATTTGTGAGATGGTGTTTATGTGGAAAATATTAATTTCTTCAATACCATGAAAAAACACTTTGATGCTCAGACAGGTTGGCAGGTTTCTCAGCATCAGACTCAAAGTAGTTAAGATGGTTCTCACTGCCATTTATCCACCAAAAGCTCATTTCTTCTGCATGATTCATCATTCAAAATCTGAAGAATGATTGTCAGGTAAGGTAGTTTATGATAAAAATGCATATCTAGTACTAATCAAAAGCAATTCATTCATACAATTTATAACTAAAGCTTTCTCTGAGACAAACATAACTCAGACAGGACAGGGTTAGGGGAAGAGAAAGTCCAGGGGTAATAGACAAATGTCCATGTATTAGAAGTAAAAATTTTAGGCTGTAAAAGTCAAGAGGGAAAATAAAGACACTATAGTTGGAGGAAAGAAACCCTGGCTTTGTTCTCTAGCTTTGCTATAACAAGCTGGGTAACCTTGAGCTTCCCTTTATTGAGACTCAAGTACCTTCTTTTCCTTATTTCTATATAGGTACACAGGGGTAGGGCCAGGACCAGTATCAGGAATCAGAGAGTAGTCCCTCTGGTCCTTAATTTAAGATAGTAGTCTTGGCTAGGAAGGGACACACATAAAATTAAAAGGGTAGAATTGCTCAGATTTAATATCTGATCTAACTTGAACAGTGGGAGAAGAAAGCAGGAGAACTCGAGGCTGTCTGGTTTATTTCTGACATGTACAACTTGTATGATGTCAGTCACCTAGAGAAAAGCACAGAAGAGGCTTTGGCCTCTGTTCAGATTAAAACATGAAGGACATCTTGACTAGCCAGATCTACGATGGCCTTTTAAAAGACTTCATGTTCCAGATATTAGATGTGGAAAGGTACAGAAACATTCATGCCTGCTGGTTGTGAGGGACTCCAGTTAGCTCTCTCTTGGGTCATGTTCTGGGTTGGTTCTGAGCCTCCACTTTTGGCTGCTGTGTGAGGCCCATGGACTCCCTTCTGAGAAAAATATTATAATTGCATAAATAAAACACACAGGATAAGTAAGAGACAACTTATATGAAATGAAAACACGCTGGAGACTGAGGGAGAGGATCACTATGAGTCTGAGCTGCATAGAGACCCTGTACCAGATAAATAAATAAATAATAAAAAATAAAATAAAAAATAAATAAGTAAAAGATTATAACTGTACCCACAAAATGAGGATAGGAAAATTAAAGAGCCCTGCCAAGAAAATGATCTGTCTGGTCCCTGAACAAATAATCAGGTTAAATTCGGTTCCAAAACCATCTTGTTGGCATCTATGTTTTCTCTTAGTTGCCATCTTAGAGACAATCATTTATAGCATAAAATTTAAACATGGCATTAAATTGTATCCAGAAAGTAACAACTTTAAGTACAGGAGGAAGCTGGCTAGTAGAAACAGATTTGTTTAATTACTCAAAGGTCAAGGATGGAAGAAAAGGAACAGTTTATCTCTAATATTTTTCAATTAACAGTAGAGCCAGATATTTTCTGGCTTTTCCCTCAGAAACACAAGAGATTCTTCTAGCAGAAAAACTCTTCTAGATAATGGGCAGAAGCTGTTATCCCAAGTCTATAGCCAAATTTCACTTAAATGAGCTTCAGGAAAGAGAAAAACTTCGGTAAGCTATATAAGTTTTTAAAGAAAAGAGTAAGATAACAGAATTCAAGATAATTACATATACCAACATTTGATGTAATTGAGAGAAACAGTAAAAAAAGAGTTACTGGGTTGACAACTAATAACTTTAGTGGTTAAAAAAATACATCTACTTATTCTTTTTAAACTTGGAAATTCCCTGGGCCCTGGTCACTAGACTTAGAGCAAAGGTCACAGCAATATTGTATATTTATTTTTGGAAGCAATCAAGAAAAATTCCACTTTGAAACTGTTGAATCATAAATACAAACATCAACATGTAATAGCCATGCCAAAAATGAACATTTAAAAATCTGACAGAAGCTTTAAAAATATTCCAATTGTATCAAAACATCTAGGCAAGGAAGAATACATTTATTTTTCTTCCTTTTTAAACAGGATAAGATTAGTATTATTAGGTCACTTGTCTTTTAACATGTACAAAGATTTTCTGTCAATCTAATCTTTTGTTTTTCCTAGTGCTTACTTAGAATGTTATTAAAGGAATATGCTCAGGTATCACATAAATTTCAAATCCCAAATTTACTGTACCATGACTGTAATATATATATA